TGCTTTATGTAGTTGTTATGCATTATAGCCCATCTGCAGATCAGGCACAATGCACGCACAGGATGATCTCTCAGTGAAAGAAGGAGAAAGTATAGATCACTAGACATCGGATTTGTGTAAGCAAAACAATCACTGACTCACCTTAATAAGACAGCATAAAACAGTTTTGAGTTGAGCAGATATATGCGCCGTTTAGCGATGCTTTTAAAAACGTGAGATTACTTGAATGATTCTTTTTTGCGCGTATTGATCAACCGAGTGGGCGATAACGGAGTGTCTAAATTGCATGTCAATTTAAACACATACAGTAACACATTCAACCTATCTACACAGATAACGGAAGTATAGCAGTCCTAAATCTTCTATTGAATATCAGCACCTGCACATTAAATGTATAGAATGCTAATGCATGCACCTAATACTATCATGAGATGATTGGAACCATCTTCTTTTGCGTATGCAGTTCATGCATCTAACAATGCACTGCCTACATTGTTAACTTCGTTATTTTCCGATCTGCACTATGCCTTTCGAATCTATAGGCAGCATATTTAACGACCCTCTCCAATACTTTATACCTTGACATATTTATTTGCACGTTGGACAAACCCTTCACATGTTTGCATGTCAGTATCTCGGTTTGGCGCGGCGACCGTAGCTGCACGCGGTGGTCGCTTGATTGCACCGAACGCGGGGATGTACGTGTACGAAATAACACTCTCATACAAACCACGTCAGTACACATACACGCTAAATAGGTCATCAAGTCCCATGAATCTTATCTTTACGCGCTACGAATGCATGCGATTCTCGTGCAAGAGTAGGGCAGCCAGCGACGTCATCCAACGATCAAGAACTGCCTTCGGAACCACTTGACCGTGACGACGTGCTGCAACTAGCGGATGTCTTAGCCGTTTTCCAGAACAATACGGTTGATGGCGCCGCGTGTTTACCAAAGCAAGTCGTTAACAGAGAGAGTGTGCAGATGTGGGACCACTAGTAGCTATGCACGCTTTCTGCTGAGCGTATCGATAAACGAAAATCCGATTTTAGTGTTGCTGTCGACCGCAGAGTGCCACCTGCATACTAGTGCTAGTTGCTGTTTGAGCTTTGTGCCTCGCAAGACAGCGGTGTCTCACTGCACTCTTCACTGCATTCATATCACAACCGTCATACGTAAAGAACTGCTGCGCTCATCCCGTTCGCTGTTTATTAGCTGCGGCTCTTGCAGCGAAAACGCGTGCCTTCCCTCCTCGCTACCATTCCTCGCACACGCACACGTGATGCCTTGGTAAACGAAGGGCTGGCTCACACACGTTCTTCCCTCACAAGTATAGCGGCAGTGTCCTCGTTTTCGTTAGCCAGTTGCGACGTCGCGTACAAGCACTCTTTCGTTGGTTGTTAGCGTGCCGGTATCGGCTCTGCATACAGCACGATGCTGAGCTAAACTATCCCTGGCCATCGCTGCCGATTGAAGTCCTGAAGTTCTATAACCTTGGTCTTAGAGCCAGCGCCATAACGCGGTCACCGGCCGAAGTAAAAAGCAGCGAATGCCTCCGGCAGCAAGTGTATTATTGTACAAGACGGGGCGACTGTCAGCCGCGCCGCCTGCTGTTAGAGCCGCCCCGATGGGAGCAGAGTCGCGCACACACGCTCAGACCAAAATGTACCGGAGGTGTAAGCTCGCAACACGGATCGGATTGTTCTCGGAGATAGCCGCCGCTTACAGCAGTTCTCGCACCCGACGCACTCAAAAGCGCACAACGCACTATTGTTTGACAGACAGGCGCCGCGACACCACCAGCATTGATGAAGCGCCAAACAGGGACTGACCGCCGCTACACCGCTGCCGCTTGCCACGCAGCACGCCACACCGATGTCTCGAAGTTCAACGCAGCACGAACGTTTTTTCTAACAGTGCGGGGCATATACATCACCGATGCCGCTTCCACGGCGGAGGCGACGAGCGCCACATGGCGCTCAACTCACACGATGTCTCAGCAGTTCAAGAGCCAGAATGACTTGTTGCTTCTAATAGCGCTGCGACCACAACACATGCCTCTGCACGCCGGCACGCACACTCAAACAAGTCTCCAGATGTTCAATCGCAGAATATTGTACTCGTTACAGCACTGCGGGCGAGCTACACACCGATGCCTCTTGCCTCATCACACCGACGTCTCCGAGTTGAGCCTGCATGTCACCAACGCGTGCCCTTCACCGTAACCTCTCCGAAGTGAAGCCCGCCGGGAGCACAACGCTGCCGCCTCCACACCACGGTCTCAGTTGAGCGCGCCACGACGCGTGCGCTACACGACATCTACGAGTTGAGCGCAGCACAAGCCAGCTGCACGCTCACACCGATCGTCTTCCGAGTTGAGCCGCAGCACAACGCGTGCACGCTCACACCGACGTCTCCGAGTTGAGCCGCAGCACAACGCGTGCACGCTCACACCGACGTCTCCGAGTTGAGCCGCAGCACAAACTTGTTGTTCTTCGGGTCGATCACCTCCTCGGTGATGTTGAAGTGCGGCACGCGGCGCACGTGTACGAGCAGCGCGACATCGCCGACCCCGCTCTTCAGCTGGAAGACGACGCCGTCTGCGAGGGCGGCGCTCGGCGCCACGTCGCTCACCAGCGCCCACGTCTGCACGCGACTGTACTCGCGCTCATTGAAGATCGCCGGGCACGGCTGCAGGTAGCGCTCGAGGAAGGCCTTCGGCGACATGTCGTGGCTGATGCAGATCGCCAGGTGCTCTGCAACGATGCGTGCGGCGTCATGTAATGATGCAATGATGCATGCGGCGTCACGTAACGATGCAGCGTCACGTAATGATACAAGAATGGAGTGATGTTAAGATATAGTTGGAGCGATATAACAATTTAATGACGTAACGATAGAGCGATGTAACGATAAAGCAACATAACAATGTAATGATGTACCCTTAAAGCAATGTAATGACGTAACAATGGAGCAATGTAACGATAGAGCAACATAACAATGTAACGATGTAATGTTGGAGCGATGTAATGACGTAACAATGGAGCGATGGAACGATAGAGCAACATAACAATGTAATGATGTACCCTTAGAGCAATGTAATGACGTAACAATGGAGCTATATTATGTATATATAGTTGTACGGTACTCATACCAGAACATGGCACGAGTGATGTTTCTGGAATAGTAAATGCGCATTACTAAAGTAGTAGTTATTTTAAAGCTCCGTGTCCTGAAGACTCTTGATCCCCTACTCATCAATTGATATCTTCGTGGTTTATTTCAGGGTTCGGGATGGGATTAGCCTTCACACCTTCACTGGCAGTAGTTGGATTTTATTTCGATAAACAACGTCCGCTGGCCACTGTGATTGCATCCATTGGTGTGCCCTTTGGCGCCATCATAGCCCCGATCGTAACATTGCAGTTAATCGAAGCATATACCTGGCAAGGGGCACTGCTTTTTATGGGTGGAATAAGTCTACATATTCTTGTAGCCGGCGCGTTGTTTCGACCTGTTTCGGTATCTGAAACGATGGAACAAATTCCGAAAAAGAAAAAAGCTGCCTTGGCGCCAGTTGAAATGAAGAAAATGGTGTTGCATGGAGCAGCAATCTTCTGTATGGAAATCGGCTTCAGCATAACGCATATCTTTGCGTTTAAGTATGGAGTAGAACTAGGCATGGATTTCGGAACGGTTGCAAAGTTGGTCATCCTCAAAGACGCCTCTAGTTCTCTTGTGAGGCTTTTCGTAGCGTTTCTCGCACAAAGGTCGTGGTTTAATAGTTTGATCGGGTATATAGCTGGTCTCTTCCCAGTCGCTGTCGCTTGCTGGCTCCTTTTTCTCACGGACGCCCCATCGGTTTATCCGGCTTTGCTCTGCCTATTCGGATTTGGTCATGGACTGACTACATCTCTCGTATCGGTGGTCAACGTGGAGCTATACGGCGTAAAGAACCTTCTAACGGTTGAGGGAATATGCACTTGCTGTGCTGGCTGTGCCAGCTTAACTGGACCCGCTATTAGTGGTAATATATATATATATATATATATTTTACATATTGCAATGTGAAATAGTAGGCTACTTTAACCCTTACTACAGACTAGTGATGATAAAATTAGACACGGTATATTGTATTTTACGTAAGCAGCGTACATAGGCGACCCTCGCGATTCTTCATAATTGTAATTTTGTGGGGAAGGATTCCCCAAAATCTCCCCTCTCCCACAAATGGTTACACGCGGATAGACGTTAGGCCTACCCTTTTGCAATATCCTGGATCTACCACTGAGATAGTATTCATCTCCCTATTCACAGGCATCATGGTGGACCATTTTGGAAACACAAGGCCATCTTTCCTATTTGCCGGGTGCGCGAATGCTACCGGAGCATTGCTGTTCGCCTGCGCCATGTTAATTAACCGCTGGCAGCACAGCAGACGATGCGGCAACGAGACAAGTGAGAGAAGGGCGTCACACTCGGCACCGTAGCAGCTGCGACGATGACGACGATCACGTGTTGGCCCCACACAATTTTTCCCGCGCATGCGATACACACACACATTCACACAGATGCGCGCGCACACACACGCACGCACGCACGCACGCATGCACACTCACACACACACACACACACACACACACACACACACACACACACACACACACACACACACACACACACACACACACACACACACACACACACACACACACACACACACACACATATATATATATACATATCCCTTACGTACATTATACAATTAATTGTCTGGGTGCTAGAAAACACGGGCGAGTTTTGTGGACTAAAAAATACTTCATGCCTGAAGGTCAGTGGTGGGATTGAATTTTGAGGTAACGAAAATAAGGGCAACTAAAACTATTACGAAAAGAGTTTAGATCATTTTGTATTAGTACACTGTCAGTAGTACTCTTGATATCGCTCACACACAATTTGTGCAGCGGCACGCATCAAAAGGATAGTACGGTAGAAGGCCACCAGGTGGCTGGTTGAAGCTAAAACATTTTCGTGGGCGCAATGTACTCTTTACAGAAGTTTACGTATAATATAAATTATATATATAATATAGATCTATACTGTACAGTCCTGCTATTTATATTAATAGGGCTATACGTTACCTCAAAATTAATGAATTCAACGAAGCTGGTTGATATTTTGGAGGAAATGTTTCTCATATGCACGTGTTTCATGATTTGAGGCCAACGGCAAACGCCAACTTGTTTCATATAATGCGGGATTTACAACACTCGATTGATACCCTATATAGCCGGATTGAGGTCACTATAGATGCTTCTGTATTGTAGACCCTTACATTTTTAATTACATAAGAAACTATGAATAAAGAATGTCTCCATTGAAATTACTTGAAAGATTCACCATGCTACAACGGCTCATCTTCCCTTGCACTTTTGGTTAAAATTAGGGTGTTAGTGCACATTAGAATAAAGTCGAAAGATAAGATGAAGATGTTACTATTGGTGTTTTTGTTTTACCTTGTACTATTTCTTGTGAATGAGAAAAAAGATGAAAAGTAAACTGAAGTAAGTGTATTGGTGTTGCAGGTAGAAACAGACCTAATATTTTCAATTGAAAAGAATATAGTATACAAATAAAATAATGTAGAGTAATTAAGACTAGTTTACATTCTGACATTACAGCATAAATACTTTTATTATATATGGATGTGAATGTAGTATATACAAATGTATGTTTTGCAATGGCTGAAATGCTGGTACAAAACGCAAAGAATGTCATTTCATCATGACGGCAGTAGAAAAGTAAACGACTACAGTAACAGAACGAATTTTAAATTCACGGCTGATAACCAACTGACAGGAATTTCGCAAAGAATGATTTCTGGTGACCGTAACTACATTATACATGTACATACATGCTTTTCACTGTTAATCAGCAGCGTAACTTGAACGCGATTCAGCCACTAAATAATGACTACCAACATTTCAGTTCACACGATGTTTAACGAGGCACCGCGGTGCTAACGCCTGTAAAAAAACCATCAGAAAAGTATCAAAACAGACATAACGATCCAATCGACTCCATCTCTGTGTCTAAGCAGAGAAGACTTAAACAGCATGCATCTACTAAATAAACCTTTTCATAACGTAATTTCCAGCCGGACTGGTGAAAATAATAAAATTGGTTTCCAAATAAATTACCTTTAGCAACGACTGCAGTTAATCCGTCCGCCAGTATGTGAAATACTGACAACGCAACAAGGTGCGTTTAAAATATTCTTGTTAAGACTGTTAACTATTCCGGTACTTAAAATGATACCTCTAGACTGCGTATAAAAATGAGAAAAACACATTTCACAACCACGAAGTACATTCCGTATGCTCACAACAGATTTCAAAACGAAATACTAGGCTACCAGGCCTATCAAAACAGAAAATATATATTATTATATGCTGACATATAGGTAAATTACTGGTTAAATGTACATGGCTCCTTATTTGGGCATTATGTTCATCACAATCACATGCTTGACACCTTTATGTATTATACATTCCGCCACCAGAGGTCGGGTGCACGATTCGAGTGCCTCTACATAAAGGAACTTTGAATGTACTGACATCAGCTATATTACAAAACTCGGTTTATACCCCATTCACTCAACAGAAGTGATAGAATATTATATTACTCAACCATTTAAGCCTCAGTTATCCGTGAAGGTGGGTGACACGTATTTAGTAAAGAAATACAAAAACATATTACCTTAACCTCCCATTAGAAGCGCGGAGAAACAGTATATGAATGAATGATCACAACCGGCACAACTGAGTACGAGTTGTACTATTCTTATTACCACACAATAACTTCCCGTTTTTGAAACCAGATGAGACGGGATACTAGAGAAGCGTTGCCGAAAGGAGGTGTTGTTCCGAAGCGCTAAGCGCAGATTTTGCGCGCATTTCCGCGGCAAGGCGCACGCGACCGCGGGAACGTCCTACGACAGTATGCAGGCGCTGGCAGCTATGGATCCGTGCGCCGAATGCATTGGCGGCGCACGGATCCATAGCTGCCAGCGAACAGTCCGCATTTTAGTGGGGGACACAGAGGGTAGACATTTGGGACGTGAACAGTGTTCACTTGTTATAAAGACATAATGTCTCTCTTCGTAACCGAGCTGTGTGACGCGAAATCACAGAAAGACTGACGAAATTCTCGCGTTCGCGAACCTTGCCCAGTAATGGAAATGGCTGCAAGGACAAAGGCTATATAGACTGGGACTCGCTCCCACCTCGATTACCCATCGAGTGACTAAGCTAAGCCCTAACACAGCTAATGCCCTGTCACACATTGACGATTTAGACAGCGTATGCCGGACGTATCAAAATTTCTCTTAAAACGCTGGCATACGCTGAACTATCGATGTTTTTTTTCAATTTTGGGCGTATACATAGCGTATTCATAACGAGTTGGACGTATACTTAACGTATATAGAACGTTTCGATAACTTATAAGATAACTTATACCAACGAATGCTTAGCGTGTTGCCGGCGTTCACAGCTTATGCCCAACGATAGTCTAACTTGTGCATAGCGGCGCGCAGCGTATCGCCGACGATCACGTGTCGTAGCCTATAAAAAGGCTGCCGCCTCGACGGATTCAAATCATAAACACGCACTAGACATCACAGTATCAACATCCCCGTCGCAGTATCAACATGCCAATACTATTTTTATATACCAATTCCCTTAAACGCTGCCAA